AAATAGTAAAGGGCCCTTAAGCGTATAGCCAAGCTACTATTTAATACGGTTATACGGATTACAAGCTATTATGTAGTTAAAAGTATAAATATGTAAAACGGGGGAGGTATCGAGAGGAAGAGGCGATTACTAGAGGGGTAATCGTTCTTCGCCCTCTTTACCTAAGCGGTAGTCGTAAGTAGGTCTGTACGACTACCCTATCTATCTAAGTAATGCTAGCGATAAGGATGCTGGCCCTCGATGCCATTCCGGTATTACTAGGTAAAGGTTATCGACGATCGTATAACTATTCGCGCGTTCGAGAAGTAGGAGAAGTCGGAGACGAGTACTTATCGCTTCTACTCGACTCGTAAGAAGGATTAAATTAATTATTAGCGTAACCTTAGGCTTATACTAATACCGATCGCGGCTAAACGAATAGTAAAGGACGAGATCTTCGTTACCGGCGATAAGTTAAACCTTTATAAGGGTAGCGATAAGGTTAAGGTCCCTAGGGAGGTTATAGTTATTAACGAATAGGTATTTCTTTTACTAGGGAAATAAGGAATTACGTTAGTATAGATAAACTTAATAGGGTTATAGATCGCGGCGCGGCCCGGGGAGTAAGGGGAGCGGGGTAATATAAATAGACTTATAAAGTTAGATAAGCCGGCTAACTTAGGGGTAGCGCTCCAGCGAGGTCGAGGATAGTACCGTTAGATCTAGCCTTAGCTAGGAAATTAATGTATATTACCCTTATCGTTATATACCCTTTTTTAGTAGTAAAAGTAACCTTTAAAGTAATTATTATATATCGAGCCGTTAGGGTAGGGTTTTATAAGCGCGCCTTAGTAACTACGGATCTTAGCGATCGCGGGGATCGCGAATAGTTTAGATATAGTAGATCTAAATAAACTAGACGAAGCTTAAAAACGCGTTTAGTACTACTTTCGACTTTCTAGTATTTTTTTAGTACGAAAAGGTATATAACTTCCTAATAGCCTCGATACGTACCCTTTAATTAGTTTAAAAGCCCCTAAGATTATATAACTACTAGCGAAAAAAACACTAGAAAGATTAAATCTTAAAAACTCTAGAATAGTTTAAACGCTATAGATCGGAATAAACTAAACAAGGCTAGAAAACGCGTTTAGTACTACTTTCGACTTTTAGTTATTTTTTTAACGTAGAAAATTATATAACCTTAAAATATCTCTTCCCCCCTCTCCTTTAAATAATAGTAATAGTCCCTTTACATCTCCCTCGCTACCTACTCTCTATATTTACTTATAGCGCCGTTCTTACTACCCTAGAGCTCCTACTTAGTAAACTCGTTAACCGTTAACTACTACTACTAAGAGTCCTCCTCCTCGTCGCTAATAATAAGGGTATTACTACTACTATAGTCTAGTACGAAGTTATATAACGTAACGGTTACATAAAGGACCCTTACCTATACCTTAATAGGATAATAGGCCCTAGATATATAAACCCTAAATATACGCTTAAGCTTACCGATTCCCCTCTTAACTACCGTTCGGAATTAACTATAACGGAGGTTATAAAGCTCCTTATATATTATAGGGCGGAGCTTAACGTAAGCTATCTCCTAAAGGTAATATCTTACGCCCTTATATAGTATAAGGAGGCGTTATAAGGAACTATATCTAGCGTCGGTAAGGTAGAAATAACCCTTTAGGATATTAAAGCCCTTAATTAAGACCGTACTTATAAATACCCTTGCGTCGTTAGTAAAGTCCTCCTAGCCTAGTAGTATATATAAAATACGCCTAGCGAAGTCGTAAGTAAGTAGAACGTTAGTTAAGATAAAGCCCTTACGGTTACGCTAGGTAACTTATATATCCTCGGGTATATTAGTAGTAAAGTACGAGCTATTAACTACCCCTAGTACGTTACGGAAGTAGGGGAAAGCCTTAGGGTTACCTTCGATCTCTAAAGAGGTTATCGGAATAGGGAGACGGATCTTAGCTTAGGCTAGATAAAGGAGAGCTTAAAGTACTTAGTAAAATACTCTTTTCTACCTATTAGTAGGTACTACGAGCTTAAGGGGGTTAGGTATACCTATTAATAGTCGACTTAGAATAGTTAAAAGTAATACTAGCGGTACGGAAGGTCTACCCCTACGTAACTATTACGAGGAAGATTATAACCTTCTCGTTAATCCCTAGTATACGAGTCGTCCGTAGCGAAGTATAGAACCGTAACTAGTTAACTAGGGCTACGAAGGTACTTTATAGTATATAAATAAGGCCCTATAATCGCTTTAGATCGCCGTAAAGTAACGCCTTTATTACGGCCCTACCGTTACGATAAAGTTATAGTCGTAAAGGTTCCTTAGTACTACGAAGTAGCGTATTAAGGAGGGCGTATACTACGGCTAAGCGCTTCTTCTTACGGTACCGATTATACTATCGAATAGTTATAATTACGGAGCGAATAAGCTACGAGTCTACTATAGTTACCGTTAAAAGGGGGGGCTAAAGTATCGAAATCGGTAGTAGTTATAGTATAATAGTAGGTTAATTACCCCTCTTTACGAAAGGCTAGAAAAATAACCGGATATTTAAGGTAGCTAAAGGGCGCTAAAAGGTAAGGCTAGGGGGCGTACGGACGAAAAAGTAAATTTCTAGGCTAATTCCAGAAGCTTTTCGTCCCGAGAGACTCCGACCTCGACGTTAGCTAATTTACAGCATTTAATTAGTTAAAACTAGTTATGTAGAGATTTTAGTTTCCGAGCCCTTTCTAAGTACTGGAAGTAGTCTATCCGAGGCCGAGTCCAGTAGGACAGGCCCTGGAATTAATTCCGTAGAATCCTTTCCAAGCCCTATTTCCGAGGTTTGGGACATACCCTTAGGACCTAATTAGTTGGAGAAATAGGTATCCTGCTCGTACTTCAGAACCTAGATAGACAAATAAAAGCATCTAGTTCCGATTTCAAGGCCTGGTCGGTGGAAATATGTATCCGGTTCCAACTTTAAGGCTTTGGCCGAATACCCTAGCCCTGATTTGCTTGTTAGCGCGACCTGGTGCAAGCGGAGCGATACCTAGATGACAAGACTAGACGCCTCTAGTTTCGACTTCGGGGCCTGGATATGAGAGGAATAGGTATCCGGTTCCGTCTTCAGGGCCTCTATCAAGCGGAGTGTGGCCCTGGAGAAGGAACTGGGTACTAATATTTTTGCAGACGAAGCCTTCGGGATAGAACTGGATAGGCCCTGAAGTCGGGATTAGAGACGTCTCGTTTTGTGTGAGCGGTCTGGTTTCGGCAAAAGGTCTCGCGCTAACAAACCAAGGCTGGAGTGTAGGTACCTACCTACCTATCAATAGCTTTCATTGCGACATGATATGGATGCCTTGCTAGGTGCACGATGTAGGTAGGGCAAGATATTGAACCTACATGTAAGAAAGCATTCGGTCCGGACCGGGTTCTTGAACACGTGGGATGCCGGACCCCGGATTCGCGATCGGCTTCGCATCGGGGAAAATCCACTTGATGAGGGTGGGGCGGGATCGGGTGCGCCAGCCAACCAGAATCGCCAACATGTTCCAGGCTAAACCCAGAATGGACAGGCAATCTAAGATGAGGAAAGCCACCAACGGCGCGTATTTCGTTTTCTCACGATCTCACCTCCCGTCACTTTCGCATCGCAACGACCGTCGTTCATGACTCTGAGCACCTGAGCTCGCCGTCGCTAACCCCGCGACAGGCGGCCCCCACTCATTCCCCGCAACCGGGACACATTCATTCCAGTTCACCAGGCGAACCATTCCATTCCTTCGCCATGCGCGGCGCAACACTCCTTTCGCTTCTCTTCAGCGCCGCGACGACGACCACGCGCGTCGCGGCCGACAGCGGCACCGTCTGGGCCACGCCCCACGACAGCTACTCGTCGTCGGTCGGCGTGCTCGGCTGCAAGGTCAACACGAACCGCATCGCCTACTGGCCCAACTCGATCGACTGCGACAACCTGTGCATCGAGCTGAGCTACGAGGGCCGCAAGGTCCACCTCCTCCGCATCGACCAGTCCGAGGGAGCTCACGATTTGAGCTACGACGCCTGGAACTATCTTTATACAGGCCACTCGGCCACCGACCGCCCGACCGCCGGCGGCGGCGTGCCCATGGAGTACCGCGACGTCGACATTTCCAAGTGCGCCGACCTCATCAAGACCAAGGGCCACAAGCTGCCGCTCAGCGCGCCCAACAGCATGAACTTTCTCGCCAGCTGCCTCGCCCGGGACACGTGGGTGGCCAAGAATCACATTCTCTACAACATCATGGACCCCATCTGCACCTGGGGCTACGACGAGGCGTGCGATCTGGACTGGCCGGCCGCGAACCAGGCCCAGTGTCCACATGCGCTGGGGACGCCATCGTCGCTCAAGAGCCAGCCCGTGTACAACATCATGTATCCCAGCGGGCAAAAACATCTGGCGGGGAGCGTTCCTGTGGCGCCTGGTGCTGCCCCGCCTGATTCTGCCGGTGCTGCGACAGCGACGTCGTGGTCGAGGACCGGGCTGGTGGTGTCGGGGCTGGTGGCGTACACGATAGCATGCTGGTTGTAGGCCGGGGCTGGGAGGTTGGAGTTTTGGGAGGAGGCAGATTTTGGACATGATGTTGACGTTGGATACCCTATGCTTATTCGTTCAGTTTCAAAAGACGTTATTTACTTCAAGGCGTGGCCCAGGCATGGTGGTTCTGATGGATGGTGTCCCGACCGTTGCACCGGTGGAACGAACCCACGCATTGATGTGCCCCCACGACGTTGCTGGTCAAGCCAGCGCAGGACAAGTGTCGCCGACACTGCATCCAGACACAAGGCTAATGATTCAGCATGTAGTTGATCTTTTGGGCAACTGACAGCCTCGCATGGGAGATCATGCAAGGGTGCTCCTTTCACCAAGGCCCACCGCCTCCACCACGTCATCCACAACAGAAAGTGCCCACAAGCTCCAACATCGATAAACTCAATTTCGACAGTGTTTCCCAACAATTGCAGCGGCAAAGTAGCCAAGCGGTCTAAGGCGCCAGGTTCAGGTCCACCTGAATTTCAGCATTCCCATCTGAGAGTGTTTCCTGGTCTGAGAAATCAGGCGCGAGTTCGAATCTCGTCTTTGTCAATCTTGTTTTTTGACTTTTTGCTCGCGTCCGTCCAGCAAATTCTCTCATCGTTTTTTTCCTGCCGTCGGCTCTTGGCATCGGGAGGCAATCGATAGCAGCCCCGCCCCCTCCATCTCCAAGTCGACCCCTTCGCCTGTGACATCTGAAACGCCATCGTCGTTCGCTGAGACAACCCAAAAGGCGCGTGCAAGTACCGTTCTGGCCACCAACACTCCCCACGATACTTGACCATGCTCTTTGCGCGCCATTCGAATGGGAAAGGGCCTTTTCGATCTCTTGGCTCGACACCCCGATGGTTCCCAACACGGCAGGCCATGACGCCCTGAGTGGCCAGGATGTCGCTCGTCAAACACGGGCGACGACGATAGCTCCTGGAATCAGGCCACAATCCCTTCGCCGCCCGCTCTCACACACCCCCCTTGCCGCAGCCTTACCCGGACACTCGGAATCGGCTCCAATATATTGAAAAGATGCGTTTTTGGGACGGGATTTGCAGCTATTGCGTCGTGGTGCCGATGCCCTTCCTGAGCTTGGCCTCGATTGCGGTGCCCCTGAAGGTTCACCCTTCCATCCACCCCGACCATGTCGCAACTGTCAAGACTCGAGAGCACGGAAACATGCATGCCACCCAACAAATAGCTGTCCCCCCCGTGTCTCTCTCGCCGTCGTCTCCCGTGTCTTGATGTTTCGTTTGATCTGGCCCTCCATTTACCCATTGCAGCTCTGCATTTGCTGACCACCCACTCACCAACACCCATCACCTTCCACACCTTCCACCCTTCGCCATGCCACGAGCATCTTCCACTCCCAGACCAAGCACAATCGCCGAATCCGACCCTTCTGACCGACCCTACGCGCTGCGCGACATGTTTGAATCACACGGCGCGACCCATCACGACCAAAGCAGGGGAAGGTCATCGTCGACACCACGATCCAACCGTGACATCACCATGCTCGCCAATCGATCCGATTGGAACCGGCAGAGGGCCGCCAAGTGCCAGAGTGCAGCAGAGCCTGTCCAAGCCCCCATCATTGACGAAGTTTCCGCCAAAAGGCCACAGAGCTATCGCGCAACAATCGAGGATGTCGATGAGGACGGCGATGACGACGAAGATGAGGAGGACGAGGAGGATGAGGACGAGGAAGACGACGATGACGAAGAGGAGGAGGGGGATGACGACGAAGAAGCCGAGAGCGACTCCATCGTGACCCCTCGAAATCGCCCATCAACCCCCCAACACAAACAGGAGATTTACGGGCTCCCCAGCAAACCCGACCAAAACAAGGAGCAGAGGCGACAGTCCAGCAATTCACAGAGTCCCAAACGCCCCGACGCCCTCAGCTTTCTCGTCGAAGACGCTCCGGAAGATGAAGTGACAGAGGATGGCATCCAACAAGCTGTCAGCGAGGCCTCTGCTGAGTGGTCCCCACGCAGCACATTCTCCTCCAGCAGTGGCCATCACAGCGTCGCCGATACCAACGCAACAACACCAGACCACAGCGTCAACGGCGACGAACATGTCCCCAAATCAGAGACAGCCACCAGTCCCCAAGCCGACAGATACGGTACCCCCGAGATGACAAGAGGTCCGGCCCGACATCCCCACATCCCACCCAGGGAGCTCCAGCCCCGAATTGCGGCCCCCGGACAAGGTCACGCAAAGCACCTCCCCAGAGCCGAGAAGCTGCCCATGTCCGGGTACGAGCTCCTCTCCTCCAAGCTCTCCAACGCCGAGATCCCCCGTTCCAGCCGCCGACGCAACTCCCGGGCCTCAGCCAGCGACCCAGACGAACCCTCCATCAAGCCCATCTACCGCCGCTTCGAGGCCCTCAACCACCGCCTCCTCCTGCACCTCCAGGATGAACTCAGCGAACTCGAAGAACAACTCCACCGCCTCGACACCGCCGATACCCAGAACCGCCGCATGTCCAACTGCATCCTCCCCGCCTCGCGCCGCGCCGAGTTCATGGCCGGCGGCGAGCTGCAGTGGCACAAGACCGACATCCTCGGCAAGATCGGGTACAAGCTGGGACAATACAGTACGCCCCCACCCCCGCCCCCACCCTATCCCTTTGTAGCTGCACTGCTAACCCCCCCAGACCACGTCCTCTCCAGCTTCCACGAGTCCCAATCCCTCCCCCCCGCCTCCCTCGCCGACATCGAGACCTACCGCACCTACCTCGCCACCCGGAACCCCATCGCCGAGATCGAGACGCGCTTCCTCGACCCCGCGCAGGACCTGGTGTGCCTCGCGCGCGCCCGCCGCCGCAGCGACTCGATCTCGTCGGCCGCCACGGCCGACGAGATGGACATGCTCACGCCGATGCCGCTCAAGACGACGTTTGGGTTCGAGCCGTCGCCGACGAGCACGACGGCGTCGAGGAAGCACAGCGTTGTCTCGGTCGGGGTGGGGGTGGTGCAGGAGCGGATGCTGTCTGACGGTGGTACCGGGCCTGCGGGGGTGCAGCAGCAGCAGCAGCAGCAGCGGGAACCCTTGCAGATGCAGAGTGGTCCGGCGCAGATTGCGGTGCTTATGGCGGTGGCTGTGATCGGGCCGGTGCTGTTCTTTCCGCTGGTCAGCGACTTTGTTGGGCGGATGGCGTTGGTGCTGGTGGTGGGGATTGCGGTGGCGGCGATGAGGGGGCGGATGGTGGATGTGGAGGGAGTGGGTGGGGGTGGGGGGGAGATGGTGGTTGACGGGGGCGGGATGAAGAGCGAGGATGTGCTCCTGTTGGCGGGGGCGTATGCGGGGGTGATGGGGGTTATGGCGGCTTTGGTTTAAGATTTGGGGGTATTGTGCTTGGTCAAAAGGTTGGAATGCGAGGGCGTTTGGGGGATTACTTGCGGGTTTTGGATGTCACTTTGAATGGGCTCGACGGGAGTATGATGATGTCCGATAGATGCCAAAGTATTAAGGAGCTCAAATCATTCTGATGCAAAACATCACCGGCTGTCTCTCCGGCGCCTCCGCACCCACAGTCTGATATATACACTACCAAGCCCGGAGTGGGGATGACCCCTCCTCCCCCGCCGTAGCATCCGTTACGAGTATAACCGTAGTTCTGGGCAATAACCGTATTCGAAGACGCGGGGGAGCCTCTCCGGATCTTCACTGTACCGACGTGCCTTGTAGGGAACCTATGGATCTTCCCCTGGGCTGACAGCGGGACATAGAGGCACCATCCCCCTTCGAATCCTCCCACAACCACACCACGGCCCCCGGCATCATCAGTAAGGTGCCAGTCAGTCCAGCTGTTTTCCAAGGTGAAGTCGAAGACTGACTGCATCACTCGACATCCGTCGGCCATGGACGAACCCATGGACGGCATGGACGCCCTGGACGAACCCATGGACGAACTTGGACTCATGCAAGACAAACAGTTCGACGACATTGAGAAGCTCCTTCGCAGCTTATACCGCGACCCGGGCCCAGAAAACGGCGAAAACGGAAATAACAATTTCATGGCCGCGCTGATCCATCCCTTGCTGGAAGAGTGTTTCCTCACCTACTTCGAACAACCCCACGCCGTCATCGACCGAAGCAACGACCCCAAGCGGTTCCGCGTCCTCGAGGGGCTTCTCCGTGACCACCTCACATCTGAAATCACCTACCACCTGCAAACACGACCCCCCGTCCGCCATAACGCCCTCGGTCTACCCGTGTCCATCCTCGTGCTCTATCTGACTGCGTCTCTGGAGAGACGCGGGGACATCGGGCTGGGGTATCTGCTCCGGGCGGCCCAGAACATCAAGGAAAGCGCTTCTGATGATGATGACAGCGTGGCGATCGCGGCAGAGTTTCTCCATTTGGCCGTCGACTGCTTGCTACAGGACAAGCGCTCCGGGGCGGTATATCTCTACGCTGTGCTCTTGGGCCTCTTGTTGAGCGAACAAAAGGCTCAAGAACAACAACAATTGAACGCCGAAGATGACCTCGACTCGGAAAAGGTTTCAGGCGCCGCCGAACCCTCAGCCCCTCCCGACTCCGACCTAACCGTCCTCATTGGCAACGAAACCATCCCAGTCCCCTTCTCCGAGATCCTCGCCTTCTTCTGGACGCAGGACCACCTCGACACCCCCTGCCACGCCTGCGCCCTCCCCTTCGTCGGCGAGCCGCCCATCCGAACCATCAACATCGCCCCCGGCACCCCCACCCTCCAAGTCCGCGTCTTCAACCGCCACTTCTCCTGCATCGACTCGACCCGCCTCACCTTCGTCCCCGTCTCCCACGTCTGGAGCGACTCCATCCGCGACGCCAACCTGACCCGCACCCACACCGACGCCGCGGCCGCCAAGCTCATCGCCACCCTCACCGGCCTCCGCCGCGGCGCCGCGCGCGCCTACGGCCCCTCGGTCGAGTTCTGGCACGACTACTTCAGCGTGCCACAGTGGCACCCCCCGGTCAAGGAGCAGCTCCTGCTCAACCTCCCGGCCATCTACCACCTGGCGCCCGAGATCCTCGTGCACCTCGAGGACCTGCGCGCCGGCTACCTCTCGCACCTGATCGCCCCCTCGGGAAGCGGGAGCGTCCTGACCAGCCACGACGACGACCCCGTCCTCCGCGCCGTCGGCCAGATCCCCCTCGTCCACGCCATCACGTCCTCGGCGTGGATGTCGCGCATGTGGGTCACGCTCGAATACACGCAGTGCCGCGCCGCGTGCGCCATGACGAGCGGCGACGTCATCCACCGCAGCGACGACACCCCGACGGGCCGCGACACGTTTTCGCGCGCCGTCGAGGCGGCCTCCGGCGAGATGCACGCCAACCTGTTCCTGTACGCCGCCACGTTCGGGACGTGGTTCGGCGGCCCGGGGGGGTACCTCGGCGCGACGACGGAGCGCGCCGGCCTCGAGCGCGGGCCGCCGCCTAGCCTCGTGCTGGGGGAGGCGATCGAGCTCATCGCGAGCAAGCAGTGCCTGTTTCCCCGCGACCGGTTCATCGCCTTGGACGTGATGCTCGACGGGCAGCGGACGGCGTGGCTGCCTGCCGGACAGGCG